TCCTTTCTTCCTTTCTTTCTTCCTTTCTTCCTTTCCTTTCCTTTCCTTTCCTTTCCTTTCCTTTCCTTTCCTTTCCTTTCCTTTCCTTTCCTTTCTTTTCCTTTCCTTTTCTTTTCGGTACTTACTCTCACATATCCAGGCTGGCCTAGAACTCACTAGGCCAACAACACTGAACTTCTGATCTCCCTGCCTCTACCACCCCCATAATGGAATTAAAGGCATGTGTCAGCAAGCCCAGCTTATGTGCTGTTGGGGGACAGAACCTGGGGCTTTGTGCTTGCTAGGCAAGTGCTCCACCAATTGAGCTGCAACACAGATCTAGGTTCCCTTATCTTTGAGTTCAGTGGACCTGACACTGGGACCTCCCCTCAGCGGCCTCCGCAGTACTGGAGGATTGGCTTCCTTCTCCAGTATGTTTATGGAGTCGTCCCTTATTACTGTGGTTGCACAAGCACAATTAAGGCTTCCTTTGAGAAATGGTGAGCAAATTACTACAAATGACTTTTGTGTAGATAGAATCCTAACTTTTTCTTGTTAATGTCCTATTTAATGATGTATAATTCATACTCTTTTTATGTGTACAATTCTATGAGTTCAGAGAACCAAACATAGTCTGTAAGCGCCACTGCAATTAAGATAGTGATGATTTATATTACCCCATAAACTTAGGCTTGCCTCTTTTGAAGTCACTCTCCTCCCACCAACTCCCAGTTCCTGGCAAGTTTCTTTCCCTTGAACTTCACTTATCTTTTCTTTTTCTGCATCTCAAAATATACAGGCTAGGCTATCCTTTCATTTTCACTGCTAACTCCTAAGGCTGTAATCGCAAGCATATGCCCCATAGCCAGTGCTACAGAATATTAGACAAATGGAATATGAGCCTTTCGCCTTCTGCAGTTTTTTACTCTGCATTGCTTTGGTTTTGCTTTTGTCACAGGGTCTCATAAAGGCCAAGCTGGCTTCAAATTCCTTTTGTAGCTAAGGATGTCTTTGAACTTCTGATCATCCTGTCTCTACCCCCAGAGGCCTGAGATTACAGGTATGGACCACTTCCATGATTTATGAAGTGCTTGGAATCAAACGCAGTTCCTCACTCATGCTAGGCAGTCAGTCGCTCTACCATCTGAGCTACATACCTAGCCTCTCCATAATGGTTTTGAGAGTTGTTCGTATTTTTTATAATCAGTTGTTAGTTTCTTTGTAAGACCGAGTAGTGTTTCCTTGCATAGCTGTACCAAGGTTTGTTTATACATTCAACTCTTGACAGAACATTTGGATTATTTCTAGTTTGGGGCAATTATGAACAATGCTCCCAAGGAAATTTCTTGTGTGTTATTTCCATTCCTTTGAATACCTTACAACTGAAAAGTTGTATTTTATTTTATGAAAAACTTCAAAGAGATTGTATAGAGTTGGTAAGATGGTTCGTCAGGTAAAAATACTTGTCGCACTAGTCTTACAATCCAAGTTAAATTCCAGGAGTCCAAATAAAAAAAAATTCCAGATTTGGTGACATGTGTGTGAAATCCTAGTATCCCTGAGGTGAGATGGAAGGTAAAAATGGGAGAATCACCAAAAAGCTTGGAGACCAACTAACTTGGAGCGTGCCATGAAAATAGGGAATTGTATACACACACACACACACACACACACACATACACACACACAAAATGATGGTTACAAAATTAAAATCAAATTATATAGTATGCATCCCAAAGAATATAAGATCCAATTGCACCCGGGATGGTTACGCATGCTTGTAATCCTATCAGTCAAAAGGCAGAGGAAAAATTATTGTAATAAACTCTAGACCAGCCTGATCTACATAGGAAATTCCAGGTCAGCCTGGATTACAGAGTGAGATCTTGTCTCAAAACAAAGAAAGAACCAGACAACAAAAACTAGTCCTTCCTTAGAGTTGAGCATGGTGGTACATGACTGTAATCCCAGCATTTTAGAGGTAGAGGCAGGAGAATCAGAAGTTTAAGGTCATTCTTGGTGAGTACGTGCTACATGAGACTATCTCAAAGAAATAAACATGTCCCCCAAAAGGAACCCTATTATTCTGGTACAAGTGAACCGTGGGTAAGACTGACCATCCAAGGACCAGCAGCAATAGGGCACATCTGTGAATGGGCAGGATGCGAAGCCTATGTCCAAGTCTACACAAAACAGTGAGGTGTCGCACAATTAGACACAAAGAAAAGAAACACTGATGGGTGGTGGTGGGACACACCTGTAATGCCAGCACTCAGGGAGGCAGAGAAAGGCGCGTGGATCTCTGTGAGTTCAAGGCCAGCCTGGTCTACAGAGCTAGTTCCAGGACAGCCAGAGCTTGTTACACAAGAAACCCTGTCGCGAAAAACTAAAAACCAAAAACCATAAAAAGAAAAGAGAAAAGAGAAAAAGAGAAGAAACACGCCAAATGCAGGAATGGTGGGGGATTTTTCCTGTCAGCCTATTCCCTCATCCAGCCCCTGCTCTGCGGTGGGCTTCAGTTCAGCTTGTTTGGTTTAATTGTTTTGTTCTGAGACAGGGCCTCACGGATCCCAGGCTGACCTCAAACTTTTCAAACTTGCTGTGTAACTCGGGATGACTTTGACTTTTTAATCTTTCTGCGGGTGTTTTCAACTCTTTTTATGGGAAAAAATTCTATTAGAAATTATTAGTCACACATCGGGGCATGCGCATGCTATGTGGAATGTGTGGCCGTTCTTTCCTTCTACCTTTCCATAGGTCCATGGGCTGAACCCAGCTCTGTGGTTTGCGCAGCAGCCTAAGCCATCTCTCCATGCCTCAGTAGATATCTTTTTTAAAGTGCCTTTCAAGTTAAGCACAATGACTCACCCTTGGAATCCTAGCATTCCGGAGGCTGAAGCAAGAAGATCACGAAGTTTGAGGCCAGCCTGGAAGCCTGGTGAGTTCCTGGGTTACAGAGACCCTGTCTTACAAACAAAACAAGAGGGAATATTGTGGCTCAGGTCCGCAGTCCCAACACTTA